TGGCTGATGCGGCGGTGTGCCGCCTGCCCCGCCAGCGGAGAGGGTCGGCGCTCGATCCCCACGCCGTCCTAGCCCCGCTCGGTCTCTCGAGTTTCTGGGACGCCACGGAGTCCACGCGGTGGCCGTCACGGGCCCAGGACCCTCGCGGGGTGTCACCGTACCGCCAGGCGTAACTCTGCAGGGTGCCTAAGGACACCCTTCACACTGGACACGGTGAAGCACTGCTGGTAGCTGACAGGTTCTCAGAGGGGCAAGAGATTGAGTGAAATTGTTTCCTGAAGGCCGATCTCCTTTTTCTGCTTAGAAAAGTCATGTTATACCCTTGATGCTGTTCTTGCGGCCTTGAAGCTGCTGTGGCAGTCTTTGCTAGGCAGCTGCTTGTCTCTCATGCCACGTACCACCACTGGGAACGTGCCGACAAGGGCACGGCTCATCAGAACACGCAGGGAGCCTGGAGCTTCAGGACTCCAGCACAAGGTTCTGCCTCTGCACCGTGGGAGCCCCAACGTGCTACTCCGATGGCGGCTATTGCCGCTCTGCACCAATCAGCCATGATGATGGAACTGCAAAAAAGGGCCCAGCCTCTGGAGATGTGGCGCCTGCCATAGCATCCCCAGGCCTTTAGCATGCAGAGAGGAGAACCTGCTTAGGGAGGTGGTGGTGGCAGAGCGTGCCAGTACTGCTCCTGCTGCTAGGGGAGAGGATGCCTGTGCTGCATCTCGGTGGTGTAACCTGGATGCAGTAGTGGGGATCATTACCAGCAAGTGTTGGGAGTGGAGGGGTAAGAGGCTGCCTGGCTCATTTTGCAGTGGTTCTCTTTGATTTCAGGTTACAGCAGGTGGAGATAAGCTGTCAGTTTACACACGATTATTTAAGAGATTTAGACTATGTCTGGTTTCACCAGCTGTGTTATTAATACACAGTTCATGTTAAAGCTAGGTGTCTCCCTCAGCCCCCTCACAGCAAAGGCACAGAACAGCAGTAAATGGGTTTTATGCACCTACAGCTTTCCTTGTGAGGGGGGAGGAATAGGCTGTGTCATATACAGCTAGTTTTACACCACTATAAAGTTATGTGTTGGTGCTGGGAGTTGACAGGCTATTGGCTAAAAATAATAATTCTTCTAAGCCAACCAGAGAAGCTACTGCGAAGCATAGGACTTAGAGAGGTAATGCATGCTTAAAGGAACTAGTTGCTGAAGATTTGGTAAGTTGCTAGTAGTCACTGAATCTGCTTAATGTCCATCGATTTAGGATTTAGGCCCCTAATCTGCTCCTTTGTTACTTATCTGTATTGCTACATACTGACGTACCTGTAATAAATCTGGCTTTTCCTGAGGATGCTGTTCACAGTTCTCTTAGGAATAACACTGAATTCACTTGAGTGAGGTGAGATTGAGTTCAGGTAGAAATCTGTTAGGACTAGAACAATCCAAAACGTGACTTTGTGAAACATCCTTCTCGGTGGAAGAGCCTAGGGGGGCCAAGCCAGTGACTTACCTACTCCTGTCTGCTCAGGAGAGGCACCTGTACACTACCACTGGTGTGTGCACCCTGCTTCCATCTAGATGGTGCTGCATTTGATTTATTTTTTTAAATGAATGGTGCCTGGTGATGTTTGTAATGACCCTGCTTAATGTTTCTTTTTGGTAAGGACTGGGACTTCTCATCTTCTGGTGTCTTTTCTGGGCTGAAGATTGACCCTGATACTCTAGTAAAGAAGCTTGACTTGGACTCCAGAAGCATCATTTCCTCCAGAACAGGTTTGTTGTTACATTTTGAATATGTGCCACCTCAAATTGTAAGCAAAGACACCGGGGACTGTATTTGCAGTGGCTGTCAGAAAAAGCGCAGGAGAATCGAACCCAAACACAGCTTTCTGTGTTCTTGCCGTGCCTTTTGAAGGAAGTGGTTTCTGTTTGGGGTTGGAGGAGGGAGAAATGCACGTATGTGCTTAGTGCTCCCTGGGTGGGGAACTAGCTTCAGGCTACCTGACTGCTGCTGGGCTGTGCTGTGCAGCTGGAGCCCCCACCTGTGGGATGTCCTTATTCATGTGGGATGTCCTCATGCAGCCAAAGGCTCCTGGCCCCCAGGGGCTGAGGGGACAACAGAGCCCAGGCTGTGACCTGATGTCCAGGCTTCCTCTGTGGCTGCTTTTGCCTCACCAGCAGCTGCCATTCATACCCTAATATTTTGTCAGCAAGTTGCTTGTTGTGCATCAACAGTGCTATACCCACGGCAGCCTGATTGCAGCCAGTTCTCTCCTCCTGTGCTTTGCTGTTGCTAGGTCGCTGGCTCAAGGACTCCTGGGTGGGAGAGTCCCCCTCAGCAGGGAGTATTTGGAGTGAGAGTGGGAACAGGGAGGACATTATAGAGCCTTTTGTTTTCTAGTCAAAAGAGGAAATGCTCCTTTTAGCTGCTTAGTGGCAGATGGAGCTTTGTATCTGCAACCGGGTTTCAGCTCTCCAAGTAGAAACTGATGGCACAGCAATTTGTCCTGGTGCAGAATATGCGTGTGACTCCCAAATACCTTGTTTGCAAACTAAATTAATTTCTTCTCTCCATGCAGATTAATACTTCTATAGTGACTTTATTTGCATGTCCAGGGCTACAAACAAACCCAGTAACCACGCATGGGCTAGTGGTTACCCGAGCAGTGGGGAGCTGTAGCAGCCATAGCCCACTGGTCACATTTGGTCACAGAATGAGAGAATGGGAAGGTTGTGTGAGGACTCATTTGCTGGAGATGCTTGCCCTCTGCACGGAAACCTTGGTGAAATGTATTGTTTTCAAAACAGTGAGCTCATTGTTCATAATTGTCCTGGGAAAAGGACATACATGCATATGTGTGTGCATGTGAACATAGCCGTCTCTTTAATTAAATTAGACAGCATGTTGTTGAAGGCCGACAGCCTGCACTCCTAGCCTTTCATTGCAGGCTACAGCTGTACATGTCTGGTTTATAAATAGACCTCTGCTGCTGGTCCCTGTGCAGTACTGATCATGCAGATGTGTGGTGCCTGGATATGTTTAACCCTCTCTTAAGACTGCATGCTGGCTTCCTGCAGACAGTGATGCTGACCCCAATGCTTTGTGCTCCCTCCCACTTTCCAGATGATCATCTAAAAATAGCTGTTCATTTGGGGGCTCAAAACTGCAATTCAATGAGGCAAAAGGATGATTTTTTTTTTTTTTTTTAAATCTTCCCAAGCTGCTGTGCCCTTTCTTCTTGTATCACTGTGGAGCCATGTGGAGGCTTTTTCATTATGGAAATAAATTCATTTTTTGTGTTAATTCAGTGAACTGTAACTAGGCTGTTCATACAATGGCAGACACCCTGGAGTTAGAAAAGAGATTCTAGGCAGACGTGCTTTGTCTCCTGGGATGT